GGCTAGCCGGGTAACGAAACATTTGCAAGAAAACAACCAAGCTCAGAGAACTCCAAGGACTCCACAGTTCAACCCTGAGCTACACATAATCTCTTCTATTGGTACCATTTGGTATATTTCCAAAAGTAAGAACCACTCAGTGCTAAACAAGAATAAGATGGAGAAGGTAAAAAATGAGGTGGAGCGAGTGGAAAAGTTTTTTCTGCAGAAGAGTTGACTTACCATGGGGATCCATTCGCTCAACAGTAGATCACCTGCTTTGCAAGCAAGTCTAGATTCAACCCAAACATCTTCATTTAGGGTTTGGAAAGATTCTTTTCTGAAACCATGGAGAGCTGTTACCAGGTAGTGTTCACCAATGTGGAAGTCCATAATTCCAGGCCAGCATGGATGAAGTCCACACACATCTAGAAAGCCTGAGATTGAGGGAGATTCCCTATGTTGGCTGGGGAATTCTGGGAGTTGAAGTCCACATATCTTACTAAGATTGAGAAACCCTGGCATAGATGGTACTGAAACAAACTGAATATTTACAAGAGTTTCCTGCTAAATCTCATATGATTATATGGAAATACAGGACTGAGAAAAGTATTCACTTGTGGTGTGACAGGGACTAGCCAGTAAGTACTTATGATGTTCTCCCAACTGCTAGACAAAACTGGAATCATTTTCTTTTTCAGGGGTTGAGCATTTACTGGGTTAGTGTGATTTTTCCAGGGTTAAAGACTTTTCTTGCCAGAAGTTGTCTGAATTCTGATCAGCTAAAAACAGGGACAATCTGCTATGTTCTGGAAACCCTCCAATCCCGTGGAGAGCTTCTGTGAATAGCAGGAGCTATCTAGTACACGTGGTGATCCTCTCTTTGCAGAGCTGGATGCGAGAGGATGAGTCTTGTCCCTTTTCGCTGATCCTTCTGAACTATCCTGTTTTATTCCTTTCTAGCCCCAATCACTCTCAAGTTACTCTTCTAAGACAATGGTTCAGTAAATAATGTCTCGCATTTCTTTAACTTTTTATGAGGGGTTGTGTATCAATGCTGCCTTTTTTTAAACACCTTATAGGACTATTGGCTATCCCTGTTGTACAAGAAACTGGTAGGCACCACAGTTCTGCATGTTACCATAACAGGCTTACATCCAGCGAAGCTTCGCGTGTATCTTCACTGTACAAATACGCACCAGTAAGCATTCAGTGCAGCAGCTAGTTGGCTTTGAAGTCCCCCCAAAATACAAGGGGCCCCAGTCTGCAGTTTTACCCAAGGCGAAGGCGTTCAGGGTTAGCAGCAACAGCCCGTGCACCCAACGCCCTGGAATACGCATGAGTCAGATGTGGGTAACAGGGGACCCAGCATGAAAGTGCCCCAGTGGAGAAAGAAAAGGAAAATTCTCACTGTGCAGATGCTTATCTGAAGCTTAACCATTTTGTCTGTTCTGCACAGAGAAACATCAGTGATGAAACGCCAATCGCTTTGTGTGGATACATAAAGCAAGTTTCACGTGGTTCCCCTCCTGAGCTCCCTCTGAATGAAGGCTGAGCAGCTCATGTTGTAGGGGCAGAGATTGGCCAGACCCCTGCCCTCTTGCCTCCTAGTGTCACATTTTCACTCCACCCACCTGTGGCCTTTCATGTACTTATCCCCCGGGGGCTGGGGGAGGAAGACTCTGTTTCGCAAGCCAGAGAGGCCCTTCTGAGCACACCGCTGCATGTCACTGGTGCCACTGCTGAAAACCAGTGATGTGATGTCCTGAAAATTAAAAGCTGGAAACATGAAAATGGTTGTGTTAGCCCTTGGACACATTTTACAGAGTTAGCTAACAAACCCAGAAAATCCTGGCCAACCCTACCCATGTTGCATCCTCACTCTGCCCACCCTGGCCCACCATCACCAAAGGAAAACCCATCCCTGATATGGGAGATTTATTGGCTGACTTAAGACATCTGTTCACTCATTGTATCCAAGCAAAGCAGTACTAAAGTAAGAGAAGACCAGGCTGGGCATCTCATGCTACGACTGCCAAGTTCCAGCGGGCCAAGTTCCTCCCTTTCTTGTTTGTTTCAAATTCTGGCTGTTTGCTTTGCTGCAGAAAATCCCCTAGAAGCCATTGGGAACCAAACCAGTTTTACTGCAGGTATATTAAGGGAGCTTCCAGTCCCTAGGCCAAATATAGCCCATGGAGAATCCCCATTCAGCCCACTGATGACTTAGCTTCCTTTTGAGAGACAGGATAGATCTCTCCCCAGCATACCTGTATTGTAATGGCTTGCTCTGTATGACCGCTGTTAACAACCTGTTGGCTTTGTTCATTCCAGCCCAAAGTACAGAGAGGGTGACGTCACTTTATTTGCCTTAAATCTCTACAACAGCACAAAACACCTGCACGTACCAGCTTACTTTGCCAAGAAGCAAATAGATGAATACCTTTTACTACCTGATGGAAAAGACGACTTACTTTCCCGGTGAGCAGTTCATCTTGCCATCTTGTTCTAAACAGTGGTTTTGGGGAGTACACTGGGTTAAAGATGAAAGAGCTGGCTAAAAATAATTATTTTACAATCCTCTGTGAAGTTTGAGTCTATGTGTATCAAGATTTGAAAATCAGCAACTCTGCAGTTCTGTAGATGATCAGAAGTTCCCACCAAGTTGTATATACAGTATTTCTCCAAAAGAAAGGATAGTTTATTCCCTAAATAATTTAAATGAGACTGCCAGCTTAGTTTCATTAAGCATAAAGATGATTTTTTTTCTATTTTCCCTTTTGGAAGGGTTGTTCTTAAATTCTGGGTTTTTTCTCTTCATGTTAATGTCAAGCCCCTAATGGCACAGTATCATCCAGAAAGAGGGACTGACAATGAGTCTCATTAATTAGATTTACTTTCAAGAAGATAAGCATCTTGGACACTGGATAAATCCAAACTCTAACATTTATTATTAAGGCAGGATCTCTGTGAGCAGCGTGAACCTTTTTTTTCCCTCAGAATGGGAAACTGAAGGGCAAACCATCCTTTTTCCAACAAGACATTGAAATATCCCCTTACTAGTAATTAACATTTCGACATACTTCCATTTCCTCCCCAGCCCTATAGATCTCTTTTACAGCAAACACAATGGAATTGTAGACTTGCTGACTGAAGGTCCAGGCCAGTGTTTCTCAAACTTGGCAACTTTAAGAGATATGGACTTCAACTCCCAGAATTCCCTAGCCAGCTGGCTGGGGAATTCTGGGGGTTGAAGTCCACACATCTTAAAGTTGCCAAGTCTGAGAAACACTGGTCCAGACTAACCAAAATTGATTCCGCGGCTTAGTTTTTTCCAGTTTAAATTTAAGTCTAAAATATGACTCTTTCCTCTTACAGGTCTGTTCAGCTGAATGGCTATCTCCTAAAAATGCCAGATGATGAGACACTGCCCGTTTTCCAGGAAAAGCCTCTTAGTCCTGGGCAGAGCCTTAAGCTCCCAGCTTTCTCATATGGATTTTATGTAATAAGAAATGCCAAAGTATTGGCTTGCATTTAGTACATTAATACCCATTTTCCAAATCTGGAAGACTAAGGTTTTATTGTGATTTACTACTTCAGCCCAGAAACAAAGCTTTTTAGCTGCATTTTTCCCCCAAGCACGTGATCATTTGTTCCCTTTTTGCAAGTTAGTAAACCTTTTTTAATTAAAAAAAAAATCCATGCAACAATTCATAAACATTTTGTATGCACGAAAAGCCTATACTTTCTTGTAAGCAATTTTCCCTGCTTTTTTTTTAAATTAAGGAAGTGCATCACATTTGGGGGGGGGGGAGAAACACACCAAATCTTCCAGTTTGCAAATTATAAATTAGGTTGGTTTGTAATTGCCCTGATCTTTATTTCAGATAAAGTAAAATTTGGCACAGTCTCTCTCCAGATATTTTAATGGCAGAAAGCAAGTGGGAATAAAAGCAAATCATGTGTTTCATGCTGTACTGCCATTCAAGCTTTTCTTTGAATTCTTTCAAAAAGGGTATAAAGCACTTTATTTCCTCTGTTGTTATCTGAGGAATGAAGACTATGGTGTCAAACCAGGAAATGGATGGCAAAGGTAGATTATAGAACTGCTTTGAATAAATAAGAGAACAGGCCAGTCAATGTTTGGGGAAATCAACTGAGGACAGCCAGAAAGCTTGAGCTACCATGTTCCAGACAGAACCAAAGTTAATTATTGTAAATTTCTGTGATTGATCAGTCTCTGCTTTTGGTGGCTGGCCATGCAGCGCCAAACAGAGCATAGAGGTTCCAATCTCAAATCCTTGACTTTAAAGGCAAGGAAACAAAAGTAATTTCTCATGATGGATTCTTTCAGCTAAGGGTTTTCTTCATTAATTCAACTCAATGGTCCATGGGTATGGCACATTCATTGGTCGTCATGCTAGCTGTGCAAACCAGTCATTGCCTTTGCTGATCAGAATATGGGGCCTTGCACTCCAGAGGTTCTGGATTCAATCTCTGGCCTCTCTACGTAGCATTGAGAAAATATTTGTGTTTGAAACCCTTGAGACTTCTGGCTGGTTAGTGGGGCAGACAGTGCTGAGTGAGATGGACCAGTGGGCTGATCTGACAGTTTCGAGTGTTTCTAGATGTTTGTATAAGGGTCTATTTATTTTCATTTGACGCGTGCTCCCATTAAGTCCTTTTTGATTATTTGTACATTTTGAAATAAAGTTTTTATATTGATACACGTGCATTTGTTGTTTATTTACTCTGCTGTGCAAAGAAAACAAAGCTAAAAGTGGATGGGGAAAGAAGAAAAGTTAGGAAGAAAAAACATGTATTAAGCTTCTTTGTTGTTTCGGCAACCTCTGATAGAGATAAATGTTTGGTTTATTTTTCTTAATTAAGAAAGAACACTGGTTTCCATGTTTTGCCAAACTGATGTTTTTCTCTGGTGTTCTTTGATAATGTACATTATCCGAACCATACTCCAGGAATAGCTACACATCCTCTGAACATTGGCCCAAAGATGATGCTTTAACCATTCCTGAAGAGCATTATCTTCATGATGCAGCCTTCCTCTCACCACGCCCACAGAGTTAAATATATAAAATTATTTATTTACTTTTGGTACCACCCAACTCCATCCGCCTGTCTTGTTAGCACATAATTCATAGCTGAACTATCACACATTCATATAGCAAGACTTGTGTCAGGCAAAGATAAGAAGCTAAACAGCCTAGAGTGAATTAGATCTAATAATTCTCTTAACCCTAATTCACTACAAAGGTTACCAAAACAGGGAAGCCAACACGTTTAAATATTTAACACTCTACTGTTGGTTTCATAGCTACAGTAAACAGACATTGCCACAGTAATGATGTCTATATGTTGCTTTTTTAGAGTATTGCTGGAAGTGACTCAACAACTGACAATATAATTCTTTAAACCCTTCGTCAAAATCCACATTCTCTTCCACAATCAGGTATTTTGGATGTCTGAGGTCCTAAAGGGAACCCAGCAAGTGATGCAAATAAAACACTTTTTCAAACCAACTCAGCTTTTGGTGATATCAAGGACACATCCAGATAATTTTGTTTTCAAATGAAGTGGTTTGCTACTGCCTTCTCCTTGAGTTTTTTGGTTACTTCCCATTCTAGTCTACACCGTAGGTATTTACCAAACACTAACAAGGGCTGAGCCTGCTTAGCTTATCAATTAAATAAAATGGTGAAGTCTTTGGTGCTCTCTGAGCACCAAGAACTCCACAGTTCAACCCTGAGCTACATATATTATCTTCTATTAAACAAAATTGGCCAGGTGCAATTAAATTCTCACACCCATGTACATTCTGTTCCTATCTCCCTCCTTTTCCCATGTTGGGTGAGGGCTGAGGTAAGCCAGGAGTTGCAGGCCAGAGATGCCCATTATGTTAATATACAACAGCTGCTTGTCTTCAATACCAAGTTCCACATCAAATGTCCTTTGATTTGGGAGGTAGGCAGAAGATGCCAAGAGTTTAATCCTCGGAGGGTAGAAAGGGGTCTCTACACAGCTCCAAGTTGTGCACCAACTCTGATTTTTCCTGAAACAGAAGGATTCTGTTCTTGATCACCTCTTGGTAGGGCTATTGTAATATGTTCTACACAGGGCTGCCCCTGAACACTATTCAGAAGCTACAGCTGGTCAGGAACGTATCTGTTGAAGTAGTTATAGGTGCATTTTAGGGTACCCATATAAACCTCCATTTCAGGGACTGCACTGGTTTCCAGTTGGCTTCCAGGTGCAATTAAAAGAGCTGATTGTCACTTTTCAAGCTCTTCATAATCCAGGACCTTAATATCTGTGGAACTACCTTCTCCCAATACCATCTGCTTGCCTGTTGAGATCTAGTAGGGTAGGCTCTTTAGGCACCTCCTTGATCAGAGAATGCTACCCACAGAGACCAGAGAAACATGCCTTTTCAGTTGCTACCCCTCTCTCTGGAACAGTATCTCCCCAGACATTTGGATGGCCCTCCTCCCTCTTGACCTTCCAAAGAAATAGAACTATTATGACTATCCCTCAGTATAAGTAATTATTTTTAGTTGTATTTTTGCAGTGTTCGATTTCCAGGCTTTATGGCTGTTTATAATGTATGGACTTGGTTTTAATCTTTTGATTATAATGAATTTATTTTGACCCAAATTACAGATTTGGGGAGCTGTATGCCATTCAGAGTTGGTTGACTGGAGCAGCCTATAAGCCCTGTAAATTAATTATACACATAAATAAATTTCAGAGGGAAATTCTGTCAAGCATCAACTTTAACCCTTATGAAATAACTTTTGTAACATTAGCATTACAGTAGGAAGTAAAAATTCATACATTTCAAACTAATTCTATTTTACAGGAACATAGTCTGTCCATCCTCACCACCACCTTCTTCTGTTTGCAGAGGGCCATAAAATAACCGACTGATAAAACAGCCTTAGATAACCCTATGGGCTGTTCTGCATGTTCAGCCAAGAAACACAATCAGATGACTTAATCCTCCTTCCCTTTTTAAATATTCCTCACAAGCCAAAGATCAGCACAACTACATGGAGAAATCTTCAGCTCCATCATTTGGCATACAAACATATTCCATGTTTCCTTTGGGAAACTTGGTGGACCGAATAATCCACAAGTGATTATGAAGATTGTTGTGACTGCCAGCAAAGCTACTTGGACATTCTCTGACTTGGTTCACACTAGGCCAAAAAGTGATTGAACTTTTCATGCTTTGAAAGCCAGCCAACCATAGCACAGCAGTTCGATAGTTCCAGATGCCACCACATATCTTCCAGGGGGCAGCTCAACTATCATTCCCTCCCTAACCCCAGTGTGTGAGAGACATGGCTTGCACACCCTGTCCTGCTTTTCTGATGAGTCAAAGGTCAACACAAGAATTGAAAGAATTCCTAATAGACCCAACTCTTGGCTCTTGGCGACGTAGCACAGAAGTCTGATGACCAGAGGATTCAGTCCTTTCTCTCCCTTTGGGAGATAACCAATCTCAAGGACATTCCAAAACTTATTATTTAAAAAAAGCTAAATTCTTAATTTAAAAAACTTCAGACTTTAAGGAATAAAATAGAGGCATTCGGTGTGAAGGAAGATAACTATGTGTCTGCTAAGATCAGGTAATACAGCTGCTTGCCAATCTGTTAGCTCCATCACTTTTTAAAATGTGGACTTGCTGATATGAGCACATGGCATCTACACTTCAGGCCATGCGCTGGCTTCCAGTTATGTCAGGTCTAGCCCAAGGAACTCCAAGAAACAATGCCAATTCAGTCCTGCTATGTTCATTAGCTACAACCTCTAGCAAGATTCTTCCCAGACTAAACCCCCAGTCCCCAAAGCCCTCCAGCCACAACAGTG